GGGGGTGAGCAGGCTGGCAGGCAGATTGGTTAGGGGCGATCAGGCAGGCCGGCAGGTGAGCGGTTAGGAGCCAGCAGTCCCGGACTGCGAGAGGGATGTCCAACTGCCGGTTTAGGCCCAATCCCCCAAGGAGTTCCAGATTGGAGAGGGTGCAGGCCGGGCTGAGGGACACCCCCCCACCACGTGCACGAATTTCATGCACCTGGCTACTAGTCCTGTTATAAACATAACCATACTAAATGCCTGCCTGTGCATTTTTTGGAAAATCATTCCAGACCCATCATGAGCTCTACCCTAGACCATGTGTCTCACATGACTCCATATCTGATTGGGATCTTGTTAAAATGCATGTGGAAATGCATCCAACTAAAAAGCTGCACAGCAAAGGAAACAATCTACAAGATGAAAAGGCAACTTCTGGAATGGGAGAAAATATTTGAAACCATATATCTGATAAGAGATTAATATCTAAAATATAGAAGGAACTCAAACAGCTCAATAGCGACGAAGCAACTTGATTAAAAATGGATTAGAGACTTGCATAGATATTTCTCAGAAGAAGACATACAGTAGCCAACAGGTACATGAAAAGGTGCTCAATGTCACTAATCACCAGAGAAATACAAATCAAAGCCATGATGAGATATCACTTCACACTTGTTAGAATGGCTATTACTAAAAAGACAAAAGGTAACAAGTGTTGGTGAGGGTGTGGTGAAAAGAGAACCTTTATACGCCATTGGTGGGAATGTAAACTGAGGTAGCCACTTTGAAAAACAGTAAGGAGATTTCTAAAATAGTTAAAAATTGAATTACCATATAATCCAGCATTCCCACTTCTGGGTGTTTATCCAATCAAAATGAAATCAGAGTCTTGAAGAGGTATCTGCACTCCCATGTTAATCGAAACATTATTCACAATAGCCAAGATATGGAAGCAATCTAAGTGTCCTTCAGTGGATAAATGGATAAAGAAAATGTGGTCCGTATGCACAATGGAATGTTGTTCAGCCTTAAAAGGGAAGGAAATCCTGCCATTTGTGACAGCATGGATGAGCCCGAAGGACATTGTCCTAAGTAAAATAAGCCAGATACAGAAAGACACATACTACATGATCTCACTTAAATTTGGAATCTCAAAAACTTAAACTCATAAAAGCAGAGTAGAATGGTAGTTTCTGGGGGTTGGGGAAATGGAGAGATGTTGGTCAAAGGATACAAAGGTTCAGTTATAAGGGATGAATAGCTTCTAGAGATCTAATGTACAGCATGGAAACTATCCTATATAATAAAAGTGTAGTATGCAAATTGTCCCCTCCACCGGAGTTCTTCCGGGAGTTTGACCAGGGGGCGGGCTGGCCGGGGGAAGGGAGGGAGTACCCGGCCAGCACCCAGCAGCCGCTAAGGACCCTACCAGTGCACAAATTTCGTGCACTGGGCCTCTGGTACTTAATAAAAACGTATTTTATACTTGAAATTTGGTAAGAGAGTGATCATGTTTTTAGCACACCAAAAAAGTCATAGCTATGTGAGGTATACATACATACATCAAAACATCACATTGTATTCCTTAAATATACAGTGGGGCCTTGACTTACGAGTGTCCCGACTAACGAGTTTTTCGAGATACGAGCTCCGTCTCTCGGCCGATTTTTTGCTTTGAGTTGCGAGCTAAAATTTGGTTTACGAGCCAGCTTCAGACACCCCACCGCTAGTTGGCGCAGCGAACATCACAGTGAACGCCACAACATCAGCCCAGCATCACGTGTCTCACTCTTTCACTTTTTGATTTGACATACGAGTAATTTGAGTTACGAGCTCCGTCACGGAACGAATTAAACTCGTAAGTCAAGGCCCCACTGTATACAGTTTTTATTGGTCAAGTATACTTTAATACAGCTGATGAACAAAACTAAAATGCAGATTCTAATTCAGAAGGTCTGATGCAGAAGTCTGGGGTAGGTGCCTGAGATTCTTAACTACTAATGCACTTTTAGACGTCGCTGATCTCTGAACGCCAACTTGCAAGGAGTACTGTCTCCTAAAAATGTCCTCACACAGGAATTGTAGGGGATTGTGCTGATAAAGTATAGTCAAGTAAGAGAGGTGTCTGGGACATGCATTCGAGTCCCAGTGCTTACTTGCTTGGAATATGAAAAGCCACATTGCCTTGTCAGTCCAAGATTGTGGTCTTTGGTGTATGGCTGATCTCTGTAACCATAGTCAAAGTTGACGAGGCTTTTTAGCAGTTGAGACACCTGGGTCCAAGTGTATTATGTTTTGCAAAATTCTGCTAGAGTTAACAAGGCCTTTCCCTCCAGAGTTCTGGTAGAGGACATGCCAGGTTCTTGACACACGGTGATATTTTTGTAAATAATATTCTATATCAATTGTGAAAGGAGAAAGCTCTCCGGGATTTTGCTCTCAGGCATTCGTCACAATAGAAGGTGCCCTGGCTGTTGTTCTCCTGGGCGCTGTTTGACTCAGTTTCCTGGTGAAAATATCTGTGACCTCTCCTGACAGGGGCAAGTGCTCTCCTGTCAGGTGACTGGAAAGAGTATGTTGTCTTCTGTTCTGAATGCTCCCTCCTGGGAGTGCTGTTTACTCTGTTCTCTTTGTTAGCATTTTTGAAAGTAATAACAATAATTTAGAAAAACACCTGTTCAGAAATGCCATATTTTAAAATATCAGATTTACTGACTTTTAAAGTATGTAAACAGACTGAAAACTGAACACGAGCCGCCTCACTAATCTCATCCGCGGAAAGTGTCAATTAGGAGGCTTTGGAAGAGGTGCGCTCCTTGCCAATCGAAGTGGCAGTGTTGTTGACGACACTGGCTTTCGAAATTACAATGGTCCCTTCTCGGGAGTGCAGTTAGGGTGACTCCTTCCAGTCAGCTATTCCCAGCTATTGTTTCTGAGGCTTCGCTTTCAGTCATCCAGGCCTGTCAGTTTGGCCTCTGTGGTGTTTCTGGGATCTGTTTTTAACTATCCATTCCCACTGCAACTACCTTCTCATCCTCTCTCACCTGAGCCCTGGTAAGAATGTGTCAAAGGGTTTCCATAGCTCCAGATCACCCCAACTCCAGTCCCTTCCATCGCTTGCTGCTGGAGGCTTTCCACAACCCAGATCTGATCATTCCATTTCCTTCCTCGAGACTCGTGCTGACTTTACAGGGCCTGCAGTGTAAATTGAGTCTTTTAACAGCTTTTGCCTTCTACCAGCCAACAAGAGTCATTCTTCTTTTTTTTTTTCAACCTTTTTAAAAAAAATGTATTATGTATTGGTTTCGCGTACCGCTTAGTGGTCAGACAATCATATACTTTATATCATGTTCCCTTTGATAGTTCCAGTACCCCAACTGGTACCATACATAGTTATTATAATACTAGAGGCTCTGTGCACGAATTCATGCACCATGGGGTCTCTCGGCCTGGCCTGCAGGATCGGGCTGAAACCAGCTCTCCAACATCCCCCAAGGGGTCCCAGATTGTGAGAGGGTGCAGGCCAGGCCGAGAGACCCCACTGGTGCATGATCAGGGCCAGGAGAGACACAGGAGGTTGGCCAGCCAGGGAGGGACCACAGGAGGGCTCCAGCGCGTGTCTGGCCCATCTTGCTCAGTCCCAGTTGGCCGGATGCCAGCAGCAAGCTAACGTACTGATCGGAGCGTTTGCCTCCTGGTGGTCAGTGCATGTCATAGGGAGTGGTTGAGTGGCCTTAGTATATCATTAACATATTACACTTTGATTGATTGAATGGACGACCAGACAGTTAGAATATTAGGCTTTTATTATATAGAATTATCAACTCTATTTCCTATGCTTTACTTACTTTCCCATGACTATTTTATAACCACCAGTTTTTATTTCTTTTTAAAATATTTTTATTGAATTTTAGAGCAAGGAAGGAAAGGAGAGGGAGAGAGAGAAAAAAACATTGTGGCTCAGTGGTTGAGCATCAATCCATGAACCTGGAGGTCATGGTTTGATTCCCAGTCAGGGCACATGCCGAGTTGCAGACTTGATCCCTAGTGTAGGATGTGCAGGAGGCAGCCAATCAATGATCCTCTCTCATCATTGATGTTTCTATCTCTCTCCCTCTTCATTCCTTTCTGAAATCAATAAAAAAAAATTTTTTTTAAAGAAACATCTATGTGAAAAAGAAAAATTGATTGATTGCCTTCCTTATTCACTCATAGCATTCTGCTTAAGCTTCTTATTGAGCATCACTTGTGATGCATCCTAATTATTCATGTCTCCCCCACCAGACTGTCAGTTCTGAAACTGAAGTCGTATTTCAGCCATCCTTATGTACCTTAGCCCTCTAGCAAAAGAGCTGAACGAATAGTTCTTGAATTTGGATGGATAGGGAGAATGGAAGGACAGGTAGATGGACAAATGATAGAAAGCAATGAAGAGACTTAGTCTTCCTGAAAGAAATAAGTTATTTTCTCATGATAAATTAAAAGAAAATGCAAGAAAAATACATATATGTGTATACACGTATATATATATATATATATATATATATGTATGTATATATATGTATATGTATGTATATCTACACATAGTGTACACACATATACAGTTGACCCTTAATGTGGAGCTGGGGTGCTGACCACCTGACAATCAAAACTTCGTGAATTACTTAATTCAGCCCTTTGCATAGGGGTTCCTGACCTTGGTTGCAGATTCCTAACTGTCAAGGTGACCCTTGAACAACACAGTTTGAACTGCACCAGTCAATGATAGCACAGGTCAATTGTAAAAACAAAACCATTTATCAGTGGACTCATGCAGTTCAAACCTGTGTTGTTCGAACAACTGTAGTTCATAGTGTGACTCTAAAGCCATGACTCTCTCTTACTAGACAATCATTAGCAGCAGTGGTACCTGATAACATGTTTTTAAGGACTGATATTTTCTTATTTTGCTTGGACCTAATTCTGTACTCTCTCCTTATTCTAGAATGACAAAGGTCTTCGGCTTGTGGCCAATTCAATGGTGTGGGTTCCGGAAGGGGGAATGCTGCAGATTACCAACAGGATCTTACAGGCCGAAGCCCCAGGTGCCAGAGCCTCAGAAATCATCTACAAAATTATGCAGGACCACCCCCAATTTGGTAACTGCTCTTTCCTTTGCCATGATGTCATCACTGTGCTCAGTAGTCTTAGACTTGCTTTTGTAAGATGCCATACAGCAAGGCTGTGACTTCAATGAACTTGACTTTCTAATACCTCCCACTTCCCCTTTAAAAACAGGATAATCAAAGGAACCACCACACTGTACATATGTTATATACTAGGTAGTATACTCAGTAATATAAACATCTATATATAAAGAGCCAGGGTCTCTCACATCCAAAATGACCAGAGGGACGACCGAATGCCAGGCTGCACTCGAGGCAGGCTCTGGTGGGTGGGGACTGGTGAGTGGGCTGAATTGCTCTCCTGGGTTCTGGCCACCTGTGGTAGAAGTAAGTCCTGGGTCCTGGAGCAGTGGTGGGGCAGGGGGAATTTCGTGGAGCGTGGCAGGGTGGAGGAGCATCATGGAGCAGTGGTGGGGTGAGGGGAGCCTCTCGGGGCAGTGGCAGGGCAGGAGGAGCCTCTTGAAGCAGTTGAGGGGCCATGACCATTGTGGAGTGTCCCAGGGTGGGGAGCTTCACGTAGTGTTGCAGGGCGGCAGAGGCCACGTGACTGAGGCCAGACTAGGCCTAGGGACCCTAACTGCACACAATTTCGTGTGCGCTGGGCCTCTAGTCTATATCCTATCTAATAATAGACAAACATGGTAATTAACCATACCTCTGCTACACTTCCCATTGGCTAATCAGGGCGATATGCAAATTAACTGTCAACAAAGATGGCGGCCGGCAG